ATTCTGCCAACAGCCAGGAGAGCTTGGGAGAGGACCCCGAGTTCCAGAGAGGAATGCGGTGTTTCCCACCACCCCGCCCTCCCGCGCACACGGCCGTGTTCCCTTCACTGGCCGTCTGTGAAAGAGCCACAGATCTTCACTCCCAAGCCTGGCTCTTTGGCCTTCAGGTCCTAATTTTTCTATATTGCTGCATAAGATTGCCAGCATTGACTACTGAGACACCCCCCGCCGAGAGAGGCAGGCGGAAGTGTCCTCCCGGCCCCCTTTGCCGGCTGTGCATGGGCTCCACCGGACCAGAGCCATTTCTGTTCTGCTTTTTAAAATAGCCCAGCTGACGTTCTGTGCTTTTTCATTGGAGGGCTATGGAATAACTGGAGAGCGGGCGAGGTTTACAGCCTCACACACGTACTTTCCATCAAAGCGTCGTTTCGCCCAGCTCTGAAATTATGGGCCTGTCCTCAGAAAACATTGTCACGGCCTTTCCCACGCACGCAGGGCTCCCAGTGAGCTTTCCAAACACTCAAGCCCATTTCCAAATGGACAACGCTCTAGAACTGAGGTACGGTCAATGTGAAAAATAAAGCTGGAGGAAATGGTCCTGCCACCAGTGAACTGCAGGCTCTGATAAGATGCTTCTCCCACAAGATGCTATTTTTATTAAATCCTAAGGGATTCTGACTCTCCATCTCCTCCACACGGCGGTGCGGAATCTGCCCAGAGAGTGCCACGTGAGAGAGACCCGCGCTCCCTCGCTCCCTTTGAAGGGGCAGTGACAGTCTCGTCGCTGTTACTTATCTCAGCACTCCTTACGCCCCGGGAGCTGCACTGAGCCCTGTGCAAACGTCGTCTGGCCGGACACTCACAGCAGCAGTGAGAGCTGCCGTTGCTCCCACTCCCAGATGAAGAAGACGAGGCTCAGAGTAAGTGGCCCAAGATCATACCGTTAGTGTCGCTAATTACCACGAATTGAACAACTTAAAACAACTTGCCTTTATTTCTCTCACTTCCCACGGGTCAGGCATCGAGGCACGCTTAACTGGGTCCTCTGCTTAGGGTCTCACAAAGCTGCAACCAGGGGCCCACTGGGCTGCATTCCTGTCTTGAACTCAGGGTCCTCTCCTAAGCTCTCGTGGTTGTTGGCAGAATTGAGTTCTTGTGGCTGCAGGACTGAGGTCCCCATTTTCTTGCTACCTGTCTGCTGGAGGTCACTGTCACTCCTGGGGACACCTGCGTTTCCCTGCCATGTGGCCTGCTGACATATGGTGGCTCGCACCTTGGGCTCTTGCTCTAGTCTGCTGGGACAGTGTCTTAGGTGACATAACACAGCTGTGAGGATGGCATCCGACAGCCTTGCCATACAACATACCCAAATCGAGGGAGTGATGTCCATTACCTTTGCCTGGTTCCGTGGGCTAGAAGTGCATCCCAGGTCAGGTCACTGTCCTCTCAGCCTCTTCCTCCTCGTGCACAAAGTGAGAACTTGCTCCCTGATGGGCACAGCTGGCTCTTTCTTGCGTTCAGAGGTCAACCTAGTGTCACCTGTTCTGAGAGGCCTTCCTGACCCCCTGCCAAATGCAGGTCTCCTTTTTCTAGACCCTGGTTTGCTTTCTTCAAGCTGAAAAATAAAAATAAAATCCTAAGCTCCCCAGCTGACTGAACAAATCCCTCCTTGGACCAAGGGGACCCCAGAGAAACCTTAAAAACTGGAATCTCAGCCATGAGAGGTTCGGAGCTCGCGGACATGCCTCTTTATACCCCTCACTTGCCACCTGCCATGGGGCTTTCTTCCCAAAGGCCGCACAGAACCAGCCTTTGGGGAGACCTGTTCCATGGCCAATTGCAACCCACCTTTGCATGCCCCTTCCCTTCTGTACTTTTGGCTCTGCTGATCAGTGTCCCTTCCTGATAGGTGGCCTCTGCTTCACCTTTTGATATCAGAGGGTCAAAAACTCCACCCTCAGATCACACTAATGCCAACATTTTTTTCTACATGTGACCTATGAAGGGGCATGAAGCTCAGTTGTGCACTTGCATGTTTCTCCTTTCAGAAATACTCATGACTCCTTCTACATCTCATTAAACATATGGTTGGCCACCCCACTCAGCAGGGATTCCTGTTCCCTTTACCGTTCCCTGGCAGTGCTTGCTCTTGGCTTCTGCCCAAGGCTGTGCTTCCAGGCCTGTGAGATGGCCACTTGCAGGCTGCAACCCTTTATGAGAAATAAAGTTGTCTTTCCAAATGTATGAACCTCATCATAATCCAGTTGACAAAGCGCTTGTCCCAACTCACAATCGTGCCGTTTATTTGCATGCTTTCTGGCCTCTCCTCTGGAATGCGGACTCCATTTGGCCGGGCGGGTCTGACTTGCTCACACGGGAACACAGCGGGGACATCCCATAAGTGGTGGAGATTCTGCTCCAGGCTAAGGGTGGGCACAGAAGGAATGTGTGTTATGTGTCAGCTATTTAATCTGCACAGCATAGGAGACAAGCAGGGACCGCGCATGTCATTGGAGAGGGGCTGGGTGGGCTCCCAGGCGGTCTGGCTCCCAGGCTGGACCCTCCAGGAGGGACAGCCCCTTTCCTTGGAGCTGTGGGGTCTAGTCACCAAGCCGCCACGTCTGTGCCGCCGTTCTGTTCTCAAGATACGAGGTGCCGTGAGAAAGGCCTTTCTGACGTGGAGCCTGAGGCATGGACAGACAAGGGGCTTGTCCACGGCCGTGCTGTGGTCGGTGAGACCTCAGCTGTGCCTGGGATTTGCGGCCCTCGTCTGCCTGCTCTGCTTCCTCTGTGCCCACTGTGTTGGCCTCCTCTGGCTGCCACAGCAAACGACCACGAAACTGGTGGCTTAAAACAACAAAAGTTATTCTCTCATATTTCTGGCCAGAAGTCCAAAATCGAAGTGCAGTCAAGGCTGTGCGTCCTCTGGGGGGGTCCAGGGGAGACTCATTCCTGGCCTGTACCAGCTTCCAGTGGCTTCAGGTGTCCCTTGGCTGTGGCCGCATCACTCCGCTTCCGTCTTCCTGTGGCGCCTTCTCTCGCGCGTCTCTGTGTGTCCCAGTCTCCGTCTCCTTTCTCCCATAAAGACATGAGTCACTGGATTTAGGGCCCCGCCTAAACTCAGGATGACTTAGACCCTTAGCTAATTACGTCTGCAGAGGCGACACTTCCAAGTCAGGTCTCATTCTGAGGTTCTGTGTGGACACTAATTTTGGGTCATCCAACCCAGTGCCCCAGACCACATATCCCTAGGTCCATCACCCCTCACCCCACCCACCGTGTCTTGGCACCAATTCTGTCTTGGTCTGTGGCCCTGGGCCACGGCCACCTCCTCCCTCGCCCCCACACCCTGCAGGATGTCACCCAGTCCTAGTGATGCCTTAGGGGGGCCTTCAACGAGTGCTGCTGTGTTTTCACTCTTGACACGTATCGTTCCCCTTTTTCACCTTTTCTTGAGAAGCCCTGCCAGGAGCTGCCTGGGCAGGAACCGAGCGTTTGCTGGCTCCATCCGCGAACACCTGACTCTGGGTCTTCTGCCTTTTATTTCAGTTCTGCAGGTTCTCAAGTTCATCACCCCTAAGCACCTCTCTGCTCACGGTGGATGTTCCGTGACCTTGGCAACAGAGGCCCACTTACTTAAAGCTTGTCAATACTCACCGGTTTGAACAATCACAATGAAAATAAAAATTTAAATATGTAGATGATTTCTTCTTTCATCCTCAAACCCATAGACATTGCATTGCATTATTACAAATAACCACAGTGTTTTCAGGTAGAATTAACATTTGACAAACTCAGGAGCAATTGCTCTTTATTTTGAAGAAAGCTATCATTAGTCTCAGTCAATTTGACATTATAAACAAGTGAAAGTCTATGCCTTTGTAAAATTTGCTTTAATCAGAGCTTCAGCACCTGGGTGCATGTCAATAATAAGTAAATTGGGGTTGACGCTGGACTTCCCTCACCTTCCTTTCTCCGCTCTTGCTCTCAGTGGCGCTGCACGCGTGGCTGCCGGGGCCGAGCACTGTGCTAGGGACAGGCATGCAGAGACGAAGAAATCAAAGCCCCAGCCTTGAAAAAGCACCAGTTGGGACTGGGAGGCACTTTGCTATGTGGCGATGTACAGCAGAACTTTCCAGAAACTCCCCATCCCAGATTTTGCTGCACATGGTTCACTGTGTTACCCTAAAAGAAGTCAGCAAACTTTCTCCATAAAGGGCCAGATAATAAATACTTTAGGCTTGGAGGACCACATTAGTCCTTGTTGTGTTAATATATTCCTTTTTGTTTGCATTTGTGTGTCTGTGTGTGTGTGTTGTTTGTTTTTCTAACCCTTTAAAGATGTGAGAGTGAGTCTCAGCTCACAGACCATACACAAACAGGCCTCAGGCTGGATTTGGCCCAGGGCTATATTTGCCTATCCCCAGAAAGGACAAGCTGTGCTCAGTGGCCGCCCTAACACACACGTGGAGCCCCTCTGGGAGGGCTGGACTACCCGGCGGGAGGGGGAATGCCTCCACCTGCTGGCACAGATCATGTGCTGAATGAGCATGTGCGGTCACCATAGTCGGAGTTCAGAGGCCAGCAATTAAGAATATTCAGGGAAAAAATGTATTCAAACAATCTACTTGTCATTCCAGGAAGGAGAAGAGGAAGTAAGAACACAGGGTCCTGACAGCCTGGTCAGGGTCAGAGCAGAGGCCCGGGTGACAGGCCACGGGCACAGTGGGGCCGAGTCACAGAGAGAAGAGAGAAATGGCTGTCTGAGGAATGTGTCGACAATCTGCTTTGTGGGTTTTTATTTATTGACCTTGCATCTTCTAATCCTTCACTATGAAGCATGTGCTGTCCACACTAATTACTGTCCTCCTCCCCAAACCCGCAGGCCGGGGAGCCCTGAGCACCCTGGGTGTGGCCAGCATGTCCCATGTGTGTGTTGTGGATGTGCCCGTCCCTGGGCCCAGGAATCACGTTGCCAGCTTCTTTGTTTTCTCTTACAGAGACATCAAACCAGACAACATACTGCTGGACGAGCACGGTAAGTGTGTCTGCATCTTTTATATGGATTCTTGCAGCAGAAAAGTTTGAGGCACTGGGAAGTTGGGGGCTCTCGGTGATTTGGGTTTCAGGGTTGACTATATCCTTCCTCCTCATCATCAATGAACTTTGAACCAGGGCTATGTCTGGCTTCTCCATATTTCTTTCAGGTACACGTGGATCCCCTGGGTATCTTCCTGAGCTAATGTAGTAGGTCTGACTTAGGGACTAAGATGCTACATTTCTAACGGATCCCACGTGGCTAACGCTGCTGGTCCGTGGACCACACTTTGAGTGGGAGGCCCCGTGTCAATGGCTCCCTGAGTTGGCCTTATCAGACTCCATCCTGCTTCAGCGAGCCTGGGCCCCTGTCTTTGGGGTCAGCATCCAGATGAGATGCCCAGCCAGGTTTAAGGACCATGAGTCTAGGGCATAGCCCAAGAATGCTCAGTGGCCTTGACAATCAATCGCAGTAGATGCCAAGAGCAGTCTTGCAGCCTTAAAAACTAAATACCCAGGTGTTGCTTCAGGGGCCTGTCCCTCAACGCCTTTCAGGGGTCGGGCTCGAGAGAGCAGGTAGCGATTTCTCTGAGGTGCTGCTGAGGCACGCAGGGATGAATCACCTCTTCTACACAGCTCCTTCACCCCACCCTCCCCATCCCTGCAGGCTGAGGTCATTGCTCTGTCTCACAGCCCCCCCTAGAACCTTCCGTGAGCTGCCAGTGTGGCTCAGCGTGTCCTACCTCAGAGTATGCATCCCTGTGTACAGGAGCAGTGGGTGAGACCGTCTGAACGTCGGCATCACATGCTGACACCAGGCTCAGCACTTTGGGGCAGTGGGGCTGAAACCACCGTGATCCTGGACGGAAGGGCAGCTGCTGCCTCCAGCTGCGGCGGTCACCGGGCGGGGCTGGGGATCCAAATGGGGGCTGAAGAGGAAGCGAAACTGAGGTCCCCATGTGTATCTAGAAGTCAGAATCCTCAGATGTGGAGCGCAGCTGAGTCCTCCAGCCAGCCACATGTCCCTGGGCAAGGGGCTGTGCCTCTGAGGCCCGGCCTTCCCAGCAGCAGCACAGGAGTAACCGGCCACCTTGCAGGGGGGCGAAGGTCTCAGGTGAGACGCGAAGGCCGCCAACCCATCCCAGCACCAGAACACCAGTGCTTAGGAAGGGGTATTAACACCTCCTCTTCCTGTCCCCGTCCTCCATCAGGGCAGGACACAGCACACAGTCCGATCTCGGAAGCAGGAGGGTTGGAGGTGGGAACGTTCCGCAGGCTGTCCAGGACGTAGGAGTGTGGAGGGCTGGGCTCTGGGCAGGATCCTCAGGGCCTGTCCGGCTCCATGGTCCACGCTCAGTTCTCACGGCCCGTGGCCACAACTCTCCTGAGGCTGCTGCACACGAGCGGTCAGGCTGCTCGCACACAGTCTCCTCCGGGTTTCCTCCTTCCCGTGCTCTTGGATGTCTGTCCACCTGTTCCCTTTCTGCACCCAGCCTCAACGGCACCTCAGCGCTTTCCTCTCCCACTTTCCTTCCAGATCCCATCCTGACCCTCTGAGCTCCCCATCCGTCACCACCCCCTCACATGGCTGGCTTGCATTGTGTCCCAACGCTGACTTCTGGCTTTGCAGCACCCTGCACACTTCCCAAGTGCCCCTGAGCCCAATCTCCTCCTCCCGAGCTCCCACTCCATCAAGGTATCTCCACTAGGTGTGCTGAATGCACTCTTTCATACTAAGAGGTGAATGGCTGATAGTCCATCTTTTCAGGTAGTGCAGACAAGAAATTTAGGACCAGGGAACTTTCTCTCAAAAGACAAGTCTCCTCTCCTAGGAGGGAAGGGAAAGAGAGGCATCTATGCCCATGGCCCTCCCCTACCTGCTTTTATAATGTGAGGACAGAAGCTGATCAGTTTTTCTAGCAGAGCCTGAATCTGTGGCCACCTCACTTTTATCTCTCAGCAAATACTCCTCAAGCACCTGCCGTCTGTCAGGTTCTGGGAATAGGACGATGAAGGCAGCAAACGTGGTCTCTTGGCACTTGTGGGTCTCACAGTGTGCTCAGGGAGAGACCGTGAAGCTTAGGGGTGCTGGGGGGACAGGAGACCTGTGGTCGCAGATGGACGTGTGTCACCTCAGAGGCAGTGCCGTGGTGGGGGCCGAGTCACAGAGAGGAGAGAGAAATGGCTGTCTGAGGAATGTGTGGGCCATTTACTTTGTGGGTTTTTATTTATTAACCTTACACCTTCTAATCCTTCACCACGAAACGTGTGCTATCCACAGAGGGGCAGGGCGGTGTGTGTTCCTCAGTGGCTCCTGAGGGTGCATCTGTGCTGGCCACGTGCACCTCAGCTCGACAGAACAGCAACTGTGCATTGCTGTCTCAAGGCGCCATCACTGACGGCATCGAGTGTTTTCTCAGAGAACAAGGCGGTTAGTTCTGTTTCCGATGAAATGCAAACATGATTAAATGCATGCTTTGATTTTTTATTCATGATGTTCAAGATCAGCTAGTTACACAAAGTCCAAGTGTGCCCCGCAAGCTGCTCTGCACCCTCGCGTCTGCTTTGCTCTCTGACCCTTTGGGGTGGGTTTTGTGTCTTAGGGCACTTTCATTCTGCGGGGAGATTTGGGGTTTCTGGTCAGCAGGGAAAGCAGAGGACGAGATAGAGGCGAGATAGAGTTGAAGGAAGACACAGCATCTTAGGACTGGGGGAGGGGGCTGAGCGCGTTCTGGGCCAAGAGTCTGAGGCAGTGGGCACTGGAGATGGAGAGGGAGGGGTCGTGTCCATTTCCTGTCCATGCAACAGAGCTGGGTAACGAAACCGCATAACTTCAATGGTGTACGCGAGAAACTTCCGGTTAGCTCACAGGCCTGTGGGGCTGTGGGTGCGCTGGGCGGGGCTGGACTGGGGGCCGAGGGGAGGCGGGCTGGAGCCGCCTGGGCTCGCGTGTCTGAGGCTCGTCTGCTGTCTGCGACCCTGGCCGTGCCTGGCCGACCAGACGCCTCAGCCCCGCCTCTCGGGGCTCTTCCTCTGCGGCTTTGCTGCGCAGCCTGCTCACAGCCACGGCAGAAGCAAGAGCCTCAAGCCACGCGAGCCTCTGCCTGGGTTGTGTCTGCCTCCGTCACGGCAGACAGAGCAAGGCAGGTGGCCAAACCAAGTGTGGGGGCAGGGCGCTGCAGAGTCACACGGCAGCAGGGGTGATCCAGAGGGGGCACAGCGCTGGGCACTTACTGGAGTCTCCCACCACCCGACGCAGCATTGACGGGGAGGCGGGGAGATGGAAGCGGCGCTCGCTCGCACAGTGGGCAGGGGCAGTTGGTGCTTCCTACAGGGGCGCCTGACTCCCCAGAGGTGCGCGGGGAAGGAAGTGCGGAGGCAGCCGAAGCGCCTGCTTTCCGCCCTCATGCCTCACCACGGGCCCTGCATGAGGCGCAGGAGGGAAGTGGCCCTCGCCCTGAATTGCCATAGGCCAGGCGCGTGCCAGGTGACCAAAGGACCCAGAGTCCCTGCGCTCAAGGACCTCGTGATCTGAGGTGGTGGCTTTCCGGCACAGAGGTGCATTTCCTGGGGTCCCAAGTTCCACGGGCTCTCACGGATTCATCTGACAGGACCTAGTGCTGAGCGTTGGGATATTTTACGGTTTCCAGGGGCTCCAACCGCACGTAAACTGGGGATGACGACCCAGCGGGTCCGTGCCAGGACAGCACAAGGGTGAGGCTGTGGGGCAGCAGAAGGTCGCTGAGGCCCAGGAGTGGCGAGGGAGGGCTTCCTGGAAGGAGGATCCTGAGAGAGAGTGAGGTCCACGGAGCATCTGGGGTGCGGCATCACAGAGGAACACAGTGGCTTCCACAGCCTTGGGATGGGCACCAGGGCGTCACAGACCCGACCTGGGTCTCCAGCAGCTGGTAACACAGCAGCCACACTGTCCTGGCGAATGCATTGTCCTTGTTGCATGAACCGTATCTCGTATTTTCCGTATTCTGTGGCATTGGCCTCTGTGGCCTTGCTGAGCCGGAGAGGCTGCCCTTCCCGGAGCCCACCAGTCCCAGAGCTGGCAGACAGCTCGCCCCAGGGCAGGTTTTTCAAACACACACCGGCCCGCCCAGAGCCAGGCATGGCGACCTCACAGGAACTTCACAGGAAGTTCATGCTGGAGGCCACCATCCACCTGCCCGCATCACCCCAGGTACCAGACAACCGGAGACAGACCCTTGACCCCAGAGCCCACTGAAATCGTTCAGATTAGCCGATCCTAAGCCTGCCTACCTTGCCTTACCCACTCCTGCCCACGGAAACGGAGTCAAGGCTCCGGCCCACATTTCCTGACCGGCCCTGGTCCTTCCCTGGGGCACGATCCGGCCCCTCCTCTTGGTAACTGTGAGTAACAAACCGTCTTTTCAATGGCTTGTCTTCTGATCTGTTGGCCTTACTGTACCTATATTCCAGATAGTTGTAAGATTTAAATATAAAAGATAAATTGCATAAGTATTATAAGAATGTATCAAAGAATATGTAAAATCTAGGGGATAAAATGAGCTTCTGAAAACCGGAAAGTTGTCAAAAATATTTTAAAAAACTATAAAATCGACATATTGTTTGCTTTTCAAAGAACTTCTTTATGGCAAAAAGCACTATAAACAAAGTCAAAACACAAACAATAGGCTAGGAGAAAAGATTCGCAATATATCCAGCCGAGCAAAGGGTAAGTGTACCTGTAGACAGGAGCTCTGATTGGAAACTGGCCAAGGTTCCAGGTGGCGAATTCACAGGGAGGCTGCTGATGTGGAGACGGGGCGGACTTGTTCTCCATTCTACCGTTGTCACCATGCGATTTGTGAAACATAGAATCACTAATAGCAACTAGTGCTATATGGAAATTGTCAGAAGTGAAACCTTGGGTCCATCACACCAAAGTACAGATGTATGGCCCCCATTGGAGCGGCCAGCCTTTAGGCGATCTAAAGTATCTGTTTGAGAAAAAGAAAAAAATGAAAATGTTGGGGAAAAAAACTGGTGCTAGTAAAGTGCAGAGAAATACACACTGTCATATTCTATTTGTAGGAGCATAAATTATAATCTTTTGAAACATAATATGCCTACCCTTGGACTCAGCAATCCCACTTCTGGGCATTTATCCAATCAAAGTAAAAGTACCAATATGTAAATATACATTCAAGAATGCTTGTTGTCGTATATTCTACAATAATAAGACAAACAATTAAGCAAACAAGACTGGAAGCAACCTGAATACCTATATTAGGGAATTGTTGAATAAAATATGATACAACCGTACTATGGAATACTCGGCAACTACAGGTCCACGATTTCTTATCTGAAACCCTTAGGGCAGGTGTGGTTTCATAATTCAGAATTTTTCAAATCTAAAAACATTTGTATTAAGTAATTATATCAATAATAATATAAAATAATGTGTCTATCAGATCTAATATGTAATAATATTTTAAAATAATCTATTCTGTATATTATATAATATCCCATAGGCATTTGGGGGAATGCCTTGTAATCAAGCAGATTAATATTTCTATAGAAAAACATAAATATTCACCCTAAACGGAATAAATAAAACTAAAAAAAAGAAGTTTCAGGTAAAATCTTATCACCAGATAAATTGTTTAAAAAAATTGGATTTAGAATGAAGGATAAGAGATTTTGGATCTCATAGGTAGACCTCTGTGTACTAACTTGGAAAGATGTCCATGGTCCGTGGCTAATGCAAAAGTAACTTCTAGAATGGCCCATGAGTGTGATCTCATTGCTGTAAGAACAAACAAATCCGACACACGTGGACAGACATTTGCATAAGCAAAGGGAGAAATAACGGAGGAGCCGGCTGGACCCGTGATTCCATGGGGCTGGGCAGAGGCAACCGGGTAACTGAAAAACATGTCCTGTGCTCTTTGTATAACGAGCTGCCATCACTTCCACAATACAAATACTAAACTTTTCGAAGAGGGGGAAGTGAAAGAAAACCAAATAAAAGCCATATCTGAAGGCTCCAGAATGCTCTCACAGTGATGGTGCGAGCCGCTGCGTCCCGAGCTGTGCGTGTGGTGCAGGGCGCAGCAGCGAAGAAAACGCCTCTCGGGCCAGACAGGACCGTGGACTTGCTTTTCTGCTAGTGTTGGGAATGAGGGAATGGGAAGGGCAAGGAGTGGGCTGGCCCCGCAGGGAAGATGGGTTTTGAGCCATGCCTTGGCAGGATGATGATGCTAACCTAAGAGCAAACACTTACAGGAAGCTTTTCTATGTCCTGCGTGTCAGCATCACTCTAACCGTTTCATGTGTATTAACTCCCTGGCTCCTACAACAACCCTCTGAGATGGTCATTTTATTATCATCCTTCGCATTTTATCGATGAGGCAACTGAGGCCCAGGGAGATTGAGTTATTTGCCCAGGGTCACGCAGCTAGTCCCAGCAAAGCTGAGAAACCAAACCAAGCGATCTGACTCAGAGCGTGTGCACCCAACTACTCCTCCACACTGCCCTCTGCAGACAGGACTGCGGATGGCCCCGTGGGGACACTCATTCCAGCCACAGGGAGAGGCCTGAGGAAACCCCAGAGGCTGAAGCAGGTTGGGCATGTCCCAGGAACAGTACCTGGATGGGAACATTGTGCACACCAAAGGCCTGGCTGGGTGACTAGGCTTCATCCACAAGCACCCTGAGAGTATTACAGTAAGCGCCTCACTGCTGCGTACCCCCTAGGATCATGCACAGAGCCCCCGGCCGAGTTGCGTGCTCACACATCAGTGCTGGCAGTTGAGCCTGAGATAGGAGGGTTGTTAAGTGAAACCGTGGTGCTTTTTTTGTCCACTGTGGCTGATCATGTCAGGCACGCCTCTCCCATGGGCCTCTCAGCACGTCTCAGTGCTCCTGCTCCAGAAGGAGTCTTCCCATATCTTGGAGGTGTTCTCCAAGTCCCCCCAAAGTGAGTTTTGCATATGCCACCCGCCTATGTATTTACATTCCACACCCCAAATACCACTCTCAGATTTGATGAAAATATAATTAGCTGTCTATACATGCTGTGATGACAGACAGATAGAAGTGGAATTGCATTTGTATCTATTAATCATGGCTCTCAGAGCTGGTGTCTTTTTTTTTTTTTTTTAGAGCTGGTGTCTTTTATGTACCAAATTCCCCAGAGAGCAAGCACTGACCATTCAGGTGTTTCCTCCCTCCCTGCCCCTTCCTTCCTTCTCCTCCTTCTCTCTTCCTTCCTTGTCTGTTTCTTGAACACCTACATTGTAGCTACACCCAGCCTACCCAGGTACCATCTGCTGCCATCACTTCAGGCCGGGTGGTACATGATCTCGACCTTCCAGCCCCCTTCCTACTAAATTCCTCCAGTACAGTACTAAGGGCCCCTCTGACAATAGCAGACAAGCAGCAGAACAGGCAGTATCCCCAGGGCAAGAGAACCCTCTTTGCCCACGCCCCTCCCAGCCACAGCCCACCCACAATTTTCCCGACAGAGGGAGCCTGGACCAACCTGTCTCATTTGTGTACCAGGAAGCTTCATTCTGTGCATCAATATCTCTAAACTTTTAATCCATAGAATTTTTGTATCCTGCCCCTCAATGTAAACATTCTTATTTACAAATAATATGCATGTACTACCAAATGAATTCAGATTCTAACGAATGCACACAAAACAGACGTTTTAAAAGTATCAGATAAAATATTATAAATAGAAGCTCAAATAGTTTCTGCCTGTACCCCACCTGGCAGGCTACAGCTTTAGGTAACCCAGCTCCCTGCAGCTCTCGCTAACTGGAATTTCTGTTTCTGTGTTTACAGGACACGTTCACATTACAGACTTCAACATAGCGACGGTGGTGAAAGGGGCAGAGAAGGCCTCCTCCATGGCTGGCACCAAGCCCTACATGGGTGAGTCCTCCAGGCCCCTCCCTTGGTGTAGTCGGGCCCAGTGCCTGAGACTCGGCGTCCCTCTCTGTCGCACCTGCCACCCGTCACACACCCTCCTCCCGCCCCGCACCAGGGTCCACGGGTTCCCAGGATGTGCCACGCTCCCGCGAAGCTCGGGCCCTTTTCCAAACCATCTCCCCTGCTGGGAACACCCTCCCTCCCTGGGTTTTGTAGAGAACGCCTGCCCAGCCAGAAAGCCTCGGCTTAGGCTTGGGACGGGGCAAATAAAACAAGTATTTTCTTTTCCACTGAAGTCCAGTAGCGTTGCCAGAATCTAACGCAGTCTTGGTCATTCTGGGTCTATATTCTCAGTTACACAGGGCTTCCAAGGTGGTGGTTTTCCATCAGGGATTTTTGTGGAAGTCTCATCATTTTCAGTAGGCATTCTACTTCCCAGCTTTGGATTTCTTTGTCAAGGATGCCCATTTTCTGAATGTTGGGCCTTCTGTGCCAAACCTTGACGGTTGTCACTTTCTCTCAGATCTTTATTACCTTTTCCTTCACCTCTTTAAAAATGTCCTCTTTTAAAAATGTCATCTTTCTTTCCCTTAGGGCGGCATCTGCTGTACTTATTTGCTTTGTGTGTTTTCTAGTGAAGTCTTCATTTTTGAAGTAATTTTCTCTGTATTTATAATTTTTTCCTGAGCTCTCTAGCCTGATTTCTGAAATTTTTATTCTAAGTTATGTTGTTCTTTTATGTCGTGTACAATGTTCTTAATGTCTTTATTCATTATTAATTCTGAATGCCTATATTGTCTGTCAGTTTCTGTGTAACAAATCCTGTCAAAGCTTAGTGGCCTGGAACAGGGACAGTGCATTGTTTCTCACAGTTCTGTGGGGTGACAGGGTGGTTCTTCTGCTGGCTTGGGCTGGGCCCCCGTATGCAGCTGCTTCCAGCTGGTAGGTCAGCTGGGGCTGGGCTCAGCTGGGCCTGCTGGGATGGACAGGCCTCTCCCTCTGCTTGGTCTTCCATAACAAGGGGGCCAGAGTGAGCCCCTAGTTTCACACAGTTTCGAGATGGGATAGCCAGTCCCCCATGCTTACCAAGACTCTGCCTGTGTCACGCTTCCTGATGTTCAGTCAGCCCAGGCAAGCCACACAGCCACCACGCGGGAGAGAGCCTGGGGCACGGACACCAGAAGGCCCGATTCACTGGAGGCCATTCAGGAAACAACCCACCGTGGTGTCTTTTAACTCCTGACACAGTAGGTTACGGTTTTGATCTGTTTTGTTGGCACATCTTTCTGGTGTGTTTTCCCTGTCATCGTGGTATTCTGCTCTTTATTCTTCTATGTCTTGTAGCACCTTTGTATGGAATTTGACTTTGATACACTTATGCCGCTCATTTTTATGTGAAATTTGTTTTCCTGAACTTTGAGAGGACCATGTGGTTCGGGACAGCTTTCCTAACCGAGCAGACCTTTCTCCACGGCTGTTTCGGTAAAGTGTGGAGCTCGAAGGCAGCTTGCTCTCTGCGGCTCCTGGTTCTGCTCTCCCTTGTCTGTCGGGACCTTCTCCTTCCTTCGTCTGCGGGGCCCTGTCCTGCTCCCTTTTGTTCTACTCCGCACGGTTTTCTTTGGGGCTCTTTCCGGGCAGGAGCCGTGGCCGGATGGATGGAAGAGTTCTGATGTCCCGGTCTGCTCTGCCTCCTTCAGAGCCGGCCAGGGGCCTCTGCCCTCCCCACGGCTGCGTCAGACAGACTCCTCGCAGTTTCGGCACCGGTTCTCAAATTGGTCAGCTGTGCTTCCCAGTGAAGAGCTGCCGGCTGTTTTGGAGATCTTTGTTCTCTGGTCCATGAGATGCTGCTTTGCTGCTTCTCTTGTTTCTTCCTGGATAGAAATCACTATCACAGAAGTCTTGTCCCTGGGGTGTCTTTTTTCCCACCCACTTGCACGTGGAGGGGTGAGGGGACAACTTAGTTTTGTAGTAAATGCATCCATGGGGCTTTTGGTTTAGCTATCTATTTACTCTGTTTTTCTGTGCAGATTTATGGAGATTCAAATCTATGCCATGGTCTCCCCAGAATCCACTATTTATGTCATTAATCTTTAACTTATTAAATGAATTAAATAAATGAAGCTTGGCAACAAATACCTGTGATGGTAAAAACAACAGACAAGCTGCTTTCGAGTAGTCAGTCTGGGCCTGGCACTGAGCTAAGTGCTTTCCACCCACGGCTTCCTTTAATGCCCACACGCATGAGGGAGACACACTTCTTTATTGCATTTTAGAGTTAAGGGAATGGGGCTTAGAGAGGTTGGGTGACTTGCTAAGTCGACGTTTTTGGTGACAGTCAGACCCAGGTCAGTGTGACTCCAAAAACCAAGCCCTGAGGTACTTCTAACCTGGCCTCCGTGACAGGAGTGACCCTTTAGCAAGAACATTAATATCAGCAGATTCACATACAAGTGAGTCTATTCACTTGAAAATAGTCCCCTTGAGAGGCTGGGAAAAAAGTCCAATAAGGCTTTTTTTGTTAACCTTTGTTAAATCCCTTTTCAGAAGCAGCCAGAGCTAGGGCTCTCTGACCAAGGAGGTCACTGCCTTAAGACTCGGGAGAGACCAAATGGGCAGGAGTCGGCGGCTGAGGGGATGGAGAGTGGCAGAGGGGGAGGTCAGGTCACCCCCGGGGCTCTGGGTGGCGCAGCAGAGTAGGTTACATGGTGTTCCCAGTGGGCACACAGCAAGAGCAGCAGGTTCGTGGGGTGGCAGAGTGGTGAGTTTGGACGTGCGGTGTCTGTGGGGCCTCAGACCCCCCAGATGTTCGCCAGGCGCCCAGAGAGTGGCCCGAACTGGCTTGTGGAGTGTGACGCTGCCGGCGCAGAGGGGCAGCAAACCAAGGGAGCGGGTGGGACGCCCAGGACGACGTGGGGGGAGGAGCATCGCCTCGGAGGCCTCAGGGGTGCCATGCCTGGAAGGGAGGGAGGGGCGGAGGGAGACGCCCCCTGAGGGAGGGCCCGCAGGCGCTCCACGTGGAGCTTCCCCTGTAATCCTGTAAATCAGTTCCAACTGCCTTCAGAATGTTTCCAAAAAGAGAATTGATCTCAAGGAATGTAGATCCTGGGCCACTGGAGAAATTCCAGGTAGTTTTCTGCCAGCTTTGCCCATCTGCCCTGTTCTTGACGCCATGCCTGCCGGACTACCGGGCACCGCCTCAGAGACTGCACACGGCTCCCTCGGCCTCACTCCTGACCCCCAGCTGTCCCAGGCAGCTCTGTGCCGTTCTTCAGAAAGCAGAGCAGCGGTGACCCAGCTGGCTGCCTCCACAGCAGCCCCACCTTCAAAAGGGACAGACACCCAACACGGACAGGGACCCTACTGCATGCCTGTCTTCACATTTCATCCTCAGAAAATTCTTGAGAGATTTTGATGTCTCTTTTGTTTTATGTACGAGGAACCTGAGGTCCAGAGAGGTTAGTTAGGCTGCGCAGGGTCACACAGCTGGTATGTGAAGGACCCAGAATTTGAAGCCAAGTCTATTTGGATCTGAAGTCCACGCTTTCACCACTACGCCAAGCTGCCTTCCTGACACTGAGCTCCTGCATAAAGCCGTATTTCTCAGACCAAGAAATTCATCTACTGTCCCAGCTACACGTAACAGTCAGAGTTTCTGGTGTCCTTCTAATTAGAGACGTTTCGGGCCTGAATTAATGAACAAATATGGAGGAGAGACGTTTATGAGCTGTAGAGGACACAGCTGATTTTCCAAGTAGGTGTATTTTCATCTATTACCTATTACCGTAGGGGAACCGTACCAGGCACGGGAGTTTAGAGGGGAAGATGGGGTTAAGGAAGCTCTTTCAACAAAGTCAAACCCTGCTGTTCCCAGGGCTGTAAATTCCTAATGCCAAGTGGCAGGTTTGTTGATTTCATTCACTTGAGCTATTCAGTTCAAAGGCCCAATAACAAGTTCCCAGAAGGTTCCAAACACGGATTCAGGGAACGGTCTGATGAGTAAGCTCCCAAAGGTGCCTCACAAAGGATGATCCCAGAAGAAACATTTGCATAGAACTGAATTTTCATTAATTAAAAGAGCAGATGGAATTCACAATTGGAGGGAAAAAATCTTTCTAAAATGTGCCAGATTAGAAGTCAGAAATGTTCCAGCAGCCACCCCCCCCCCCCCGGCTTCAGAGTGTATTAATTTGAGGTGAAATGAAGAGCGTGGCTTTCGTTCCGCAAACATTTACAGGGCGTCTAGGAGGCGCAGGGCTCAGGGTTAGGCACTGGGGCTACAGTGAGGAATGAAGTCCTCCTGTGCCCAGGAGCTCAGCACCTGGCGGAGCAGACGGGCAGGTGAACGTAGCTGTGTCAGACCCCGCTGAGGTGGGACAATAGCGTAGCACCAGGAAAGGGCAGGTGCTGGCACGAAAAGAGGGAGATAAACTCTTATTGGACAATTTTGAGACAGACTCTTGGAGAAGGGGCAATCTGAGTTAGACTTCAAGGGTGTGCTCTGTTTGGTAGCAGCAGGGAGAGGACACTGAGGCAGAGGGAGCACCCGGGCAAAGGCAGAGGAGTGAGACAGCATTGTGTGCGCGGCAACAGGGCAGCTCCATTGTTTCACGGCTTACAGAGCGAGAGGAGGTGGGGAGGGAGAAATGGGTCAGGCCAAGGCATGAGGGTCTTGAATGCCGTGGTGACAGCCTAGGGAACCAGAGGAAGGTTCAGTGCTGGAGACTGTCGTGATCGGGCTGTGGGATCAGAGCCTCACAGGTGACCATGGAGAGACGAATGGGTAGCAGAAAAGCATTAGAGGCCAGGCTCGCCAGGGATGGGTCCAGGTGATGTGTGGGCTTCCGCATGGAGCAACCTGGGTGTCTTCCACGTAGTGGCTGCATGGACTTGGGTGAATCTCATTACCAGACATAATACACATGAAGTGCTCAGCGTGATAACACTCCAGAAACATTGACAGCCAAACTGCCGGACCTCTCAGTTTTCTCGTCCGAGAAACGGGA